AAAACATCCCGTGGCCTATCCGAAACTCACCCGAGCCCTCGGGGCTCAGAACCAAACATGCACACAAGTCTAAAACACATCATACGAACTTGCTCGCACGATCAAATCGCCAAAATAACACCTAGAACTACGAATTTAGCACCAAATTAAATAAAATTCTCAAGAACACTTTAAAATTTCTATTTTCTTAACTGGACGTCCGAATCACGTCAAATCAACTCTGTTTCTCACCAAATTTCACAAACAGGTCTTAAATATCATAACAAAACTGTACCGGGCTCCGGAACTAAAATACGGACCCGATACTAACAATGCCAAATATCAATCAATTCTTAAAAATAATTAATTTTCAGACTTTTAATTTTCATTAAAAATTCATAACTTGAGCTAGGGACCTCTGAATTTGATTTCGGACATACACCCAGGTACCATAATTCGATACGGACCTATCGGGACCGTCAAAACATAGATCTGGGCCTGTTTACCAAGAAGGTTGACCGAAGTCAACTAAAATTAACTTTTAAGGCAAAAATTCTTATTTTTATTAGTTTTCAACATAAAAGTTTTTCGAAAACCTGCCTGGACTGCGCACGCAAATCGAAGAGGGTAAAAATAAGATTTTTAAGGCTTAAGAGTGCAGATTCGAGTTCTAAAATATAAGATGACCTTTTGGGTCATCACATCTTAGAGAGGGGATTTCACCTAGAACTTTGAGATAAGTAATTTCCACACAATGTAAGTTTAATACATAGTTAATGGGTAGATTATAACATGTAAATTAGTAAAAATTATGGGTTTAGGTGAAAACCTAGGTTTTTGACAAAAATGAGATTTAACCACGGAATTTGTAATGAAATTTAGTAAAAATCATATGTTTGAGTTCATGAGGTTATGGGTAATAATTTTTTTAAAAAATTTTCGGAATCCGGGCACGTGGGCCCGGGGGTGAATTTTGGAAATTCCTCAGTTGGGGTTGGGTAATCGCTTTAATAGTTAGAATACGAACTTTTGAGCATGTATTGATTAGTTTATATACTATTAGATTAGTTTTGGGTTGATTCGGCACCGAATTGAGGGTGTGAGCACATTCTTGGACCGGAAAGTAGGCCTTGAAACGAGGTAAGTCTCTTTTCTAACCTTGTAAGAGGGAATTAACCCCATAGGTAAACTTAATCATTATGTACTTTTATTTGTGGGGGCTACGTACGTACGAAGTGACGAGAGTCCGTGCGTAGCTACTATTGATGCTTATGTCCGGGTAGATTTAGGCTTAAACCATATTTTTATTGATACCGTTGCTTGTTTATGCTTACTAATTATTTGGATTTAAGCGGAGGTTGAGGATTTTAATATTTTAAAGGTTCCTAGTTGAATTTCTTATTTTGAAAAAGAATTGAGAAATATTATGATAACTTGAGAAAATCTATATCCAACCGCTTCACAAGTATACTCCGCGAATGGGGTAAATTTCTACTACTCTCATGGGAGCGGGCCGCTCGCCTCGGCAGGTTAATTGACGTATCTATGGTTCGGGTCGTTCGACCCTCGACAGTGCACAATATATTTATATGTATATTTGGATCGGACCCTACGTCCTCGGCATAATTCGTACGTAAAGATATTGGAATCCCTTTATATTTAATATCGTTCCATGGACTTGAAAGGTGAAAGGATTAGACGAGAGAAATGACTTGGTTCTTACTTGAAATGGAAGTATTGTTTACTATTTTCCTGCTTTGAGTTTTATTATCATTTTATATATCATGTTTAATTAGAACTTCATACTATTATATTTTTGGCCCATAGTAAGTGTCGAACTCAACCCCTCGTCGCTACTTATTCGAGGTTAGACTAGATACTTACTGGGTACATGTTATTTATGTACTTATGCTATACTTCTGCACTTGATGTTCAGGATCTGAGGCAGGTGCATCTGGTTATCAATCTGGCGCGCACGCTTGACTTCTGGTCCGAGACCACACGGTGAACTGTCCTTCCGAGCCGTTCAGCAGCAACCAGAGTCTCTCTTTTGATTTATTTTCTGTCTATTCTATTTCAGACAGTAGAGTAGAGATCTTTTGTATATTTTACTAGTAGCCTACACACTTGTGACACCAGATCTTGGCACACACTAGTAGACTTGTGATTTTAGTTTTATTCCTATGGCCATAAATACATTTAGCTGCTTTCGTTTATTAATTTACATATGTTTCTTACTAAACCTAGTAAATTAAGGAAAGTTATTTACTTGGGAAAACTTATTAAAATGGGCAAATGACTAGATTGTTCACTGTTGGCTTGCCTAGCAATGGTGTTGGGCGCCATCACGACCTAAAATGGAATTGGGTCGTGACAATAAGCATTTAAAAAGGTCAATTAAAATATGATGGGGAGAATATATGTTGGTTCAAAGTTGGAGCGAAAGTTTGATTACTAAAGCAAACTTAGGGGTGCAATGATTTTCAAATATTTGAAAATTATAATAACGGATCAAGGAAAGCAAAATAAAAGGTTTGTTTATACTATAACAAATAAATGTTAACCATACGCACAATCCATAAAACTAACTTTTATTTTAAACTAAAACATGCCTTCTAGTAACAATATAACATGCATTAGCACATCGAAAATCCATTATAGGGATTGAGAATGAAAGTAATTTGCAGTAGGGATGTACAAAGGTCGGATTGGTTTGGATTTTTTAATTACCAAATCAAATTAATTGTATCGGGTTATTAAATCTAATACCAAACCAAACCAATAAAAGTCGAGTTTTTTAATCTGGATTTTTTTCGGAGTTTTCTGGGTTTTTTTCATAAAGTTTTCATAGCACAAAACGTAAAATTTGTGCTCCAAATATTTTTTTAATCCTAGTAAGACAGAACTATATATGGTGTTTTCAATAAAATAACATAAATATGAGATGAGTCATGATATTGTACTAAAATATTCAACAATAAGGATAATAAAAATGCATAAAATAAATATTATTAATAAGCCATAATGAAAACAAACATAATTTAAAATTATGACTAATAAGTACTATTATTTACATGACTAACCACTAAAAGAAAAATAAGTTATACATTTTATCTAAACCACGGAAAAACTAAAAAATAGATATCCAACACTATTTTCATCTATAGTACAATTGAATTGAATGTCTTTTACTAGCATTAGTATTGATTTGATTTTGGTTTAGGATTTATTTGAGTTACTAATATTTATGGACTATAAAACTTATTGGAGCATCCAAAAATTATAAGCCCAAGCTTGAAATAATACGTTAAAAGATAAAACTATGAAAAAGCTTTAAAAATATTTATAAACTACACTACCATATATATTTTTATGTATTAAATATATTTAAAACTTCTATACATACAATGTCGGGTTGGTTTGGTTTCGATTTGACTTTTTTGAGTTAAAACCAAACAAATCAAATATGGTCGGGTTATTGTGTCCAACACCAAACCAAATCAAACCAAACTATAGTCGGATTTTTTTTTTCGGATTATCGAGTTTGTGCAAACTATCGATTTCATTTGTACACCCCTAATTTACAGCGTGGGGTCAACAATGAGTGCAAGTGACTGTATCAGAACAAAAAGCAGTTATTACACAGTTAGAATATTTCTGAAACTTAATATCGTAAACCATAAGGGATGTTAGTAAATTTATAAAAGAAAATTTAAGGAATGGTTTCTAAAATTATCCGTTAAATTAATAACATAATGTTAGTATAAATGGTGCATATGAAAGACATGCATGCCCTCTATTCATCAGTGTGGTATAAACATCGAATGAATAATTTTCTCCCTCTTAAGTCTTAACATTTGGCTCTTAAGATATATCCTTGACAATGGTCCATAGCAACATGCCAGTCCCATTCATTTATGTTGCATTTTTTTTTAGCAGCCGTCACCACTCACAATTCTCCAAAAAAAAAAAAAAAAAAA